CGCATCGAGGATGACGGCGTCGCTCGAAACGACGACAGTTATGACATTGTCTCTCGCAAAGGCCCCAGAAAAGCCGCCACAAAACAACTCGCAAACCGCACCCTGGCGTAACCGCACCGATTGTAATCGCCGAGTCGTGCCAGGCCGCCGCATCGCATTGGCCGCCTGCACCCGGCCCTCCTCGAGCCTTGGGACTTGCCGCGGGAGCGGTGGCACGAGGTGAGCTTGGCGAAGTATGTCGACGACGTCGGGCTGGCCCGCTATGGCGCGGCGCCCGACGTGGAGGCGGCCGCGCGCGAGTCTGCGAGCTGGTGAATCACCTACGTGTGGGATGAGCTCCAGAGTGAGGTTCGCCTCGCTTTGCCAGGCGTCAAGAGGGAAGAGCAAGTGTCTTGCTACGTCCCAATGGCTGTCCAGGAAGCCCGGGCGCAGCATGGCCTGTTTCGGCGCGCGCCTGCAGCGGGCGGCCCTCGCGTGGCCATGCGCAGGGCGCTCGCGGCCGGAGCGAAACGCTGGGGCGGGAAGGTGCGAGAGATGAGGGAGGCGGGGTCGAAGCACTGCGGGACACACGGCCGCCGCGCCTTGGGCCTGAAACCCGTGGAAGTGCAAGCGCTGCGGGCGCCCTCAATACTGGCCTCTCTGGCCGCCATCAGCACCTGTCCACTGCGCCGCGACTGGCGATCTTCAACCAGGAGCTGCGGCCTGAGTGCGATGTCGCCCCGCTGGCGGCCCGGGCCGAGCAGGCGCGGGATGGCACGACGCTGGAAAGCACACTCGGCGGCCTGGCGCCGCCAACAGGCACTGCTCATGGGCGAGGATCTTGGAGCAGAGTCGCGGGGTCTGCGTCGCCATGCGTTTTGGTCATGAGACGGCTGGGATGGTCCTGGCCAGCGTGGAATGTCTTCGCGACGTAGGACGGGCACGTCCTGGAACTTCGGCGGTGCTGTCCCGCAGACGTCAAGGCAATGGCGTTGAAGGACAGCGAGGCCGTCTGGCGGGCGGAGTGGATCACCGCCGATCCGGCCCGAGCGCCGCTCCAGCCTGCCCCGTTCATCGGCCCGCTGCGCACGTGGTTCACGCGGCACCTGCGCCGTTAGAGCTGCGGCGCCTCCGCGGGGCCCTGGACGCAGCACCGGGCGCACGAGGCTGGCGCCGCGGCGACGCCATGGTCCAGGCGCGCGGCACGGCGCAGCAACGCCTCGGCAACTGTCCAGCCTGCAGCGAATACCGCTTGCAGCCCTGGCGCACGCGCTGCCGCCGATCACGCTCCACATAAACCGACAGCATTCTTGACGGGATCGCTGCGGGCCCAGCTTGGTGCGCGTGCGCGGCCAGACCGGACGCCGACCTCTGGCGGAGGATTTGGTACAGGATCGACGACCTCGGCATGGGCCCGACCGGCGTCCAGTTTCGCAAAACGAAGACCCGCACGTCAGAAGCGGCCGTAGCTGCTCTGGACGGCCGCGAGCTGCTCATTGCTCGCGCCAGTGCTGCGGCCGACGAGCGGGCTAGGCAGGGCGCCGAGGAGGGCGCCAACGGCTTCCTCGAATTTGTCCAGAGCGCCTGCTGGGAAGAGGCCGAGAAGGTGGAGTTCTTGAATTTCGTTGCCGAACTCACCGGGAAGGTCTACGAGGCGGACGGCGTCAGGAAGGTGGCTGGACCCGCCGCCCCTCGACCTCCGCAGCTGCAATTGGTCCCAGGGGCAATGGAGGCCTACGTCCCAGCCCGCCGACGAGGTGGAGGTTGGGAGTGCCAGAAGTGCGGCAAGCGATCTGCAGCAGCGCAGGCGCTCTTGGATAAGCGTTGCGCCGGTCACGCGGCGGCGCGGATCCCTGTGCAGCTGGCCACCGAACGGGTCACCAGCCAGGGCCATCACCTGTGGCGTACTGAGGTGTGGTCTGGTGCCGCAGGTGCGGGCGCCACGTAGTGCGTCGCCTGGCAAAGCTGCCGGAGGAGTGCCCTGGCCGGCCGACGCAGCGATGGCAGCTCGCCAAGCTGAAAGCAGGGCGCGCTCCCAAGGCCCGCACGACCAACCCGCCCATCGGCCGGACAGCTCCCCTGACGGATGCCGAGTGGGACGCGTGGGGCTCGCGGACCCTGTGCCAGTCGCGGCGGTAGGGCGCAACAGCTGAGTGAGGGCATTCGCGCATGGGGCGCGCGGCCTGCCCGTGCGCGCTGGCCGAGGGGCGGCCTAGCGCCTAACCAGTTGTACAGTCTAGCGCCGTCGCACGGCGAAGGCTAGGCGTCAAGCTTCGTGGTCCCGCAATCCGAGCACCACGGCGACGGTTCACCCGGCCGCGGCGGCGTGTCAGGACGAGTAATCCGAAGAAGGCCGAAATTGCAACGCGCAGGAAACACAAAGTGCACGTGGAGACCTCCCTGTGATCCTCTGCCGCGTACTCTGTGCGCAGCTGACGATGCGTGCACCCAGAGGAATGCCAAAGCCCGCGCCCATCCAGTGATGCAACAGCAAGGAAGTCCATTCTAAACGACCTATAGGTATCAGGCGTGGCAGGCAAGCAGCACACAAATAAATACGACGATTTGACGCGAAGCTGGAGGCAGGTGGACACATGACATCGAAATACCGCGAAACTGGCCATGAAGGTGCCGAAGCACCCGTACACATGGTGTGGAAGCCCGCTGCAGTGCCGTCCTCGCTCTCGCAGAATCGAATGCCCTGAATCACCACGCTCCCTGACCTGAGATGGCTTCGAACGGACGGCGAACCATCGCGCCGTCGAACATGATGCGCTGAGCTCGACCAAGAAGCCGTGACAGCGTCTGGCGGTTCCCCACCAAGACCGACCTCTGAGCCTCGGTCCGCCCGACCCTGATTCGGATCGGACGAAGAAAAGGGGGTCAATAACGGGTGAATCAACCCGTGTAGCTGATTTTCCCGGCGCCTCCTCATTATCGCCGGAGGCGCCAGTGAATCGAGGAAAGCGCTCGGCGGCGGGGTCGAAACACGCTGCAGGCAGCAGGTTACGTAGCCCTCCCCCCACCCCCCACACACGTATAATATAGTATGGCATGGTCTGGTATGATATTATGCTACCTGATACGATGTGATATGGTGTGATGTGGTACTGGACGATATGAAATGATACGAGGGTGCGTGGAATGAGATGACATGATATGGCATGGAGTAATGTGGTATGGCGTGATGTCATGTGGCATGGCATGGCATTAGATGACATGGTATGATGTGAGATAATCGGGTATTGTAGGATATTGTCAAATGTGTTATGATATGATACGACATGGTATGACATACTGTTGGACGATATACTGCGATATGATACGGCATTATGTGATACGATATGATATGGCATGACATGATTTGGTATGATATGGTGTAAGATGATATGATCTCCAATGTTATGTTATGGCTTGGTTTCCTGTGGTACGATATGGCTTTGTATTCAAGATATAATGCCATATGATCTGACATGGTATGCTCTGGTATGTGCAATAATATGATATGACATGTGCGATGCAATTATATGATATGATCTGCTATACCTCTCGATCGACACCACTACTTATGGTGAACGCCGCCTCTGGTAGAGAGTTACAATGAGAAGCCTTGCTATCAGAAAGCTTGGGCCATATGTACTCTTCGCCGATTTTTTAAGGGCCCGAAGGTGCTCAAAAGCTTGCACGAGTCCCTGGGGCACTAGGGGGACAAGCAATTTCAGGGTGGCACTCGCTGGCCGGTCGGCTTCTTATTTGACGCGCCTACCGCAGCTCAGCAGCGCCCGCCAGACCTCACGGACCGAGGCCGGCACGGCACCGGCCTCTCCTGCCCCTCGCGCGCCGCCGCGGTGCCTGCCAGCCTGGCCGCGCTCTCCTCTGAGGAAAGGCGCCGAGGTCGTCGTCTCGACCTGGGCCGCAACCTCGACGAGAGCACTGGCTCGGACGCCGGCATTGGCTCCTGCTGCGTCGAGCTCCGGGCGACTGCGCAGACCTCCTGGGTCATGGCCTGGAAATCGGCCAACCGCGATTCTGGGCATACCAAGCATTCATTGACTGGGGTGTGGCTGCCACCGCTGCCCCGCACTGCAGTAGTGCTGCGGACGAGGATCGCAATGCGAGTCCAGTACCGCGGGCGTCCACTCGGTCACATCTTACCGGGCCGCTGCCCAAACGTTGGCCAGCAGCTTGAGGCACCGCGCACCGCGCTCAGCCACGGGCCCTGGCAAAGGACGTCGCTGCACTAGTGTTCGGTCGGCGAGGCTCAGCGTAGGCTGGACGCGAAGCCATGGACGCTCTCTTCGTCGACGTCGTCGACATCACCGTCTGACCAAATTTCGTTCAAGATCAATCCTGGGACCCCTGTCGAGGTCAGTTCTGGCGAGGTTTCCGAGACTCGTTCAGCCGCGGCGGCGGGAACCTCCAGAGACGCGCAGAACCATCCAAAAACGAAGACGTCGACGCAGTCGTCGTCAAAAACGGAGCTGTCGACACTCGGTACGGGGCGGCACGCAAGCTCATCCGACCTACATTCGGACTCCTCTCGAGGCACCACCGAACTCCTACACATGGCTCCGAATCCCTCGTGGCCAGGCGTGCCAAGCCGCGCACCGAACCGCCGCGAAGGTGCGTCAGCGGCCAGCTGGCCGATTGTGATTGGTTCGCGAACACGTCGAGGGCAGAGGATGCGGAATCGGCGACCAACGCGGCAGCAGAGACGTGATCCGACCGACGTGCAGGGCGGGGAGTGGGAAGCCATCGTGGAGCACCAGATGGAGTCGACTGGACCGACCGCAGGGTCGCTGAGGCCTGAAGTCTTGGGCCAGCTAGCTTCGGATGAGGGTACGTAGAGGAAGGGGGGCAGAAGAGAGGGAGGAGTGATTAGCAGGAGAAACGGAAGCAGCAGAAACAGAAGCAGCAGCAGCAGACGGCGGGGGAGACGGCAAAGGAGACGAGGATGAGAGCAGACGAGGGACCAAGCAACTTCGCCCTCTTGCGTTGCCCAGCTAGCCAAGCTGGCGCACCGCACGAATCAGCATCGAGTTGTCTGCAGGCTCGTCGGTGGCCGTATCCTGGCAATGGTGGCACGGGCAAATGGGAACAACATACCAACAGCGCCCCTCACCATCCTTCTCGTCCTCCTGCTCCTCCACCTCCCCCTCATCCTCCTCCTCCGTTCCCCCTCCTCCTCCTCCTCCTCCTCCTCCTTCTCCTCCTCCGTCTTCAATCCGTTTCCTTATACATACCTTCTCCCTGTCGCACCCCGAGGCAAGTTTTTAGGGCGGTCTGGCCGTTTCGCCTGAGACTTCCTCACCATTTGTCCCTGGAGGTCAAACTTGACAACAGCTTCTCAGATGGAGGGCCGGTGGTTTTCAAAATGTGGCTTTCGCCTTAGCGCCGCGCACATTTGTTTTAACAATCTGCAAGATGTTCACGGATTGAGAGCGACCCGTTTTCAAAATGTGGCTCTCGCCTTGGCGCCGCGCACATTCGTCATAAACATGTGCAAGAGTTTCACGGCGCCCCTGCGGGGGCGGCTTGTCATCGTCGAGGTGGTCGACAGAAACAGCCGATCGCAGGTGAGAGCCTGGAAAACGTGCTGTCGGGAACTGCTGCATGGCGTGTCGCCCCGGCGGCCCCGGCGACACGCTGTGCACTGCAGACGGTTAGCGTGTCGCTCCGCTCCGCGGGGCGGGGGGCCGGGAAAAACTCGAGATGTTGACGCCCAGGGGCAAGAAAATGGATAGCGTGTCGCGCCGAGGCGTGGTGGGCCAGAACCGGCGGGGCGACACGCTATCCAGAAGTTCCCGACCGCATGCCAAAAGAAGATCAAAGGCATCACGAACGGCGTGATCAGAACATACGGAACGAAGAAACTGGCAATAAAAGCATGATGCCGAGAAATCCTTCGGCATGGGAGAAAAGCCCCAAAGGGACGCTTGGAGTAGACATGCGAACAAGAACCAAGAAAATCGCCCACTCTCTGCGACTCCTACGGGTATGGTTTGCACAAGGTGTGATGTGCAACCCGCGCATGGGGGGGAGGGGCGCGCGGGCGAGGACCTCGACAGAGTTCTCCGCCGCGCCCCGACGGGGCCGAGGGCAACGTGGTGCTCCCCAGGCCCCGACGACGCAGATCGCAAACCACACCCCGGTGTAACCCACCCTTTGTAGTCGACGCTCCCTGTGGGAGCGGCTGGGGGCACCCGGGGGGGAGCAGGGCCAGGCACGGCGGCCCGGCTGGCAGGCGACGCGAGCGGAGCCCCCCCTCCGCCGGAGCCGCGGCCTGGCACGCCAGGCCTGCGGCCGAAACCCCGCCACGAGGGCCCTGCCCTCTGCCGAGGAGAACGAGCGGGCGCTGCTGCACAGAAGTGGCCCTGGTCCGAGGCGCTCCCAGTTCTTCGCGCCATTGGGGCGCCTCGCTGGGCCCTCTGGGCCTCAAGAGGGCAAATATCTGCGGCCCCAGGCCCTCGCTTTCACACCTCGGGCCGCGGGTCTTCTGTTCCACAGCATGCTGCCCCGGACAGACAGCACCTCTGATCTCGCCAATCCTTGGTATGATCCCTATCGCGATGGCATAACCGTCGGCGGAAGTGCGTTCGTAAGTACTGTCATTCGGAACGATTCTGAGCACACTGGTGGCCATGTTCGCTTGCAGCTGAGCTAATGTAAGCATGAGTATGGCTGTGGCAACAACGATTGTCACACGCGGCGATTGCGACGAACGGTCGTCACACTTCGGCGCCCAGACCCGAGTCAGACGCTCGTCCGCACCCCATCCAGCCATGCAGGAAATAACATCAGATGTAAGCCCTGAGTCCAGCAAAATCGTGTCTGAAAAAAATTGATCTCCGAGCGCAGCACATGCCCCAATACCTGCCTCCCTTGTCCCACAGTTCGCCCGCGCTCCTCCCTGGCCATCGGACAGCAAATCAATTCAACCTGCGGTAACCCGTGCGTGCCGAGAAGGAAGCCTGCTGATGCCAAAAGAACTGCCAAGCGGCCGATACAACGCCAAAGAAATAATACTCCCATGTACCCCAATAAGCGGGCTGGCCGTCCATGGATTCAGCGATGCGCTCGCCTCGCGGCGCTCGGCCCACCTTGCTTTCTCCCTCTGGTCCCTCGTCTGAGTCCTTCTTTCCCCATCCCTTTCCCAAGCCATTATTCCCACTATTTCCTCCTGCCGACCCATTCCTCCCAAGACTCCCCTCTCTTCCTCCCTTCATCGGTCCAGATTCGGATCATAATACCTCATCCCATATTTTTTTTTTCTCTCTCTCTCTCTCTCTCTCTCTCTCTCTCTCTCTCTCTCTCTCTCTCTCTCTATATATATAATATATACATATATCCTCTGTATCTCTCTCTCGTTTCGTTATTCCTTCTCTCTCTCTCTCTAGTTTCTCTCGTTTCTCACTCTCTCTCTCTCTCTCTCTTTTCTCTCTCCCTCAACATATTGAGATACACATGTTAAATGTATACATGTATTTGCTATGTATCTCTTGCTCGCAATCTCTCTGCTGGGCTGTTTCTCCTCGCTCTCCCTCTCTCCCTCGCGTTCCCTCTGTCTCTCCTCTCTATCTCTTAATCTCTCTCCTTCTCTCTCTCTCTCTCTCTCTCTCCCTCTTCTATATCCGTACTATTCTCTCGTTCTTTATTTAGTTATATCTCTATCATGACTCTTTCTCTATAGTTATCGTTTCCTCTCTTCTCTCTCTCTATGTCTACCAATAGTGGATATACATATATATATATGAGAGAAAGAGAGAGAGAGAGAGAGAGGAGAGAGAGAGAAGAGAAAATATATAGAGAGAGAGAGAAAGAGATAGAGAGAGAGGAGAGAGGAGAGAGAGAGAGAACGCGGCCCACAGGGCCCGAGCAAAGGGGAGGGGGGGGGGCTTACAGCTACCCCCCCCTCCCCCCTTGGGCCCTCCCCGGAAGCTACCCCCCCCTTCCCCCTTTCCAAAGGGGGGGGGTGCTTAAGCTACCCCCCCCCTCCCTTGGCGCCGCCCTGCTGGAAGCTACCCCCCCCTCCCCCCCTTTCGTGCAAAGGGGGGGGGGGCTTGGAAGCTACCCAGCCCCCCCTCTTGCCGCCCCACCACGATCGAGGATGGACGATCGACGATCGATCGAAAAAATCCCAATCAAATCGCTTGCAATCGATTACGCTCCATTCCACTGCAATCCCCCTCCCCACCTCCCTCCGCTCCCTCCCCTCCCTCCACACCCTTCGTTCCATCTCCTCCCTCCCCTCCCTCTCCTCCCCTCCCTCCCTTCCGTCCTGTCCCTCCCCTGCAATCCAATCGATTGAATCGATTGCAATTCAACCGATTGCAGTCCAATCGATTGCAATCCAATAGATTGCAATCGAATCGTTTGCAATCCAATGGATTGCAATCGATTGCAACGCAAATGCATCATTCAACTCGTCCCGTGCCAACGCCCGGGAACGAAGACTCACCCTGGCGACGTACCCAACCCCTGCGCAAACGCGGGGCGCAAATAGTTTAGGACACTTTATAAGGGGGGCGATGACGGAACGAGGGTTACATATGTCTGCAGACGGAATTCGGGAGACTCGCAGGAAACTGGTTTCAGGACAAGTTCAGTTCAGTTCAGTAGCCTTGCGTCCGGACGGCGCGCGAGCAGGGTGAGACCGCGAGCAGCCAAAAGAAAAACTGCTCATGAGCGGGGCGCGCTGCATTGGCATCGGCCGCGCGTGCTAAACACGCGGAGGGAGGAGGGGGAGGAGGAGGAGGAGGAGGAGGAGGAAAAGGATAGATGAGAGCCACAACTACGCACTCAAATGCCACGCATTAACTTGCTGTTTCCACGCGCGCGCTGCTCCGCCATCCGGGCGGAAGAAAGCAGCAACGCGTTCGCGTGAGCCCGCAGCAGACACACAATTCTTCATGACCATGTGGCTCCAAGTTTGTCTCGGCCTGCCCCGCTGCCGCGGCCCGTCCGGTCGCTTCAATTCGATGCCGCCAGGGCAGAATATTGAGCAGCGCAGTGGGTCAGAGTCTGCCCGCCTGGCAAGATGTCCCATGAATTCCATCTGTCGCCTGCAGATGTCTTCGCTCGGCGGCCCCTGTCCGGCCATACTCAAAACGGTTGCGTTAGACACTCTGCTCAGAAATGACGGCGATACTCGCAAGATTTTTCTGAGGCAGCGGGCTTGGAAGGCGTCCAACCTCCTCCTTTCCAATTTGTTCATACACGCGGCGAACAAACAATATTGCAGCTTAGACACAATGCAAGCATTGAATATTGCTATCTTCCGCTTGCGACTCAGTGATGAATGCGTCCATACCGCATGCAGCGCCTTGAACTCACTGGAAGCAGCCCCTA